GAGGAGGAGGAGGAGGAGGAGGAGGAGGAGGAGGAGGAGGAGGGGGGGGAGGGGGAGGGGGAGGAGGAGGAGGAGGAGTTGACGACTCGTGCGCTGGCACAGTCTACGGCAACACATGGCCTGCACCACTCAGCTTTAAAACCGCAGAGCCTGCCTGGAATCCAAGGCACAAACATATGTGCACACACCGGATCGGGCGTCGCAGTGCCCTTCCACCGGAACGATTCGCTGCTCGCTGCGCCGATTCCGCCCCGAGAGCCTCCCAGAGACGGAAGAAAAAACGAGCGAGGCAGCAGAACCTGGGCAGCCAGCCCGCCACGGGGTCCCACAGCTGTGCGAAGTTGGCACGACGTGCCCTGCACATCGGGACGCGCCCCCAAGACAACCTCGGGGTTCGGTCTGCCAGGGGCCACCACAGGGGACGTGCAGCCCGGCGATGTCCACCTTGCCAGAACTCAGAAAAAGGAGAAGGAGGAGGAGGAAGAGGAAGAAGAGGGGGAGGAGGAGGAGGAGAAGGGAGGAGGAGGAGGAGGAGGAGGAGGAGGAGGAGGAATAGAAGGAGGATGAGGAGGAGGAGGAGGAGGAGGGGGAGGAGGAGGAGGAGGGGAGGAGGAGGGGGGAGGAGGAGGGGGAGGAGGAGGAGGAGGAGGAGGAGGAGGAGGAGGAGGAAGGACAACCAGGAGTCCACGAGGGACATCCCAGCGACCGGCAGCCAGAAGTGCAACGATTCTGTCGCAACGGCGTGCGGCGGCAGCCGGAAAACAAAAATATGTCGTAACGGCGCTAGGCGGCCGAAGAGGAGGAAGGAGTCGGAAGGAGGAAGAGGAGGAAGGAGGCAAGAACAACCAGGAATCCACGAAGAATATCCCGGCGTCCACGGTGGGGTCCAGACAACCCGGAGTCCACAAGGAGCTCCAGACGTCGCACCGTTCAAGAAAGGAGGAGGAGGAGGAGGAGGAGGAGGAGGAGGAGGAATAGGAGCAGCGCCTACCGCAGCAGCCGCATGATGTGGGGGACAGCAGTCAAGGCGCATCGCGTGCCGTAGTCCGGACGCGCACGGTGGCTGAGGAGGAGGAGTAGGAGGATAAGAGGAGGAGGAGGAAGGACTAAAAAAAACATCGACGACGTGTTGTTCGACATGGTCGTGGTGCCGAAGGGTTCGCCAAAGTTCTCAAGATGTCCGAGGAGGGCGCGAACTACAACACGCAGCGGGAGGCGGCGGGGAAGGGCCACAAATTGCGGGGCCCCCGCGCGTGTTACCTTTGGATGGGCCCCGCGCGGGCCCCGACCGACCGGGGCGCCGCGGCCGGCCAGAAGACGTATACGGGCGAGCTTCAGCGATGCAATGCGGGCAACGTCTATATATCCACATCCAGTGCGTCTTGGAGTTTCGGACTCTCTTCCCAAGAAACATGAGGCGCACTGGATATGGATCATAACCTGCCTCCAAAAGGCTCGAGGTTTATCCATGTCCACTGCGCCTCGGCCTTGCGGCGCCCCTTCCAAGAAAGCCCAAGACGCACTGGATATGGATATAAATATTGCCCGCATGCGAGACGACGTGGGACGGCTTGAGCAACATGTGCGACCCCAGGCACACACGCATCACGCTATGACCGACCAACCCGGCGGCGCGGCAGACCGTCATCGCAGCCATGCGCCGGGCGGGCGAGGCCAAGGCCGGCCGCGAGCCGCCGGGCCACAGGGAGCGCGAGGCGCGGGAGTGGCTCGAGAAGTTCCTCGATAAGCGATTGCGTACCGTCGACGCCGAGGGATCGGCCCCGAGCATCCCGCACCCATGGAGGCCCTGAGCGGGAGCGCCCGCATCCCGGCTGTGGCCTGCGATGCGCCTTGGCCGCTGTCCCGCGCCAACATGCGGCTGCTGCGGCAGGCGCTGCTCCTATTCACGAGGCCGATGTTGCATCACAGCAGCAATTCGGCCCCTGACTTTCGTCCTGGGTTCGGTTTAGTGAAGTGATGAATTGCGGGGTCCTTACGTGGGAAAAACATCACTTCACTAATCTGGGGCCCCTGGGGCCTCAGTGGGCCCTGGGGCCCAAAATTAGTGAAGTGATGGTTTGCGGGCCTCGGACTATTCCTCCTCTTCCACTCTTGAATGCTGCTACGCCTGGAGCTCCCTGTGGATTTCGGGTGGTCTTGCCCTGGCCGTAGGAAGCCGGGATGTTCTTCGTGGAGCCCATGTGTGTACACAGATGTAGATGTATACACATATATGATAGATGCACGTGGGTACTATAGTTTTGACCATAAGACGTCAACTTCTGGACGCCCCCGACCCGCCGATGTTTGGTCTGGGAGCGGGCCAAGTCCAGTGGGCTCGTACCCCGTAACACTATGCATACACATTTGTATACACATATAGAATGGTGTGATCACTACTCCGTCCCTCACTACTCCGTCCCATACGAAAGAGGCACGGAAATCACTCCGACTTGGACCCGCTCAGAGCGCAATCGCTCCGCATGGGTCATTTGGAATAGAATAGTCAGCGGCATCTTCGTCATCGTCGTTGTCATGCCGATGTCAACGCGATGCTCAATTGTATTCGTTCTCGCGTGGACGCAGTGCGGCCCTGGGAATCCCTATCCACCGCTGTCGTTTTTTTGCTTCGCTGGCCAGCCATCCAAGAGGGCCCACGACGGCCCGCGAATTCGCATCAGGGCAGATCTGCACCCTAATCGGTCGTCCGCGGTACGCGGGACCAGCTAATGCAATTCTCCGCCGATGGTCAAAAACTGTGGTACCTGCTGAGTGTGTTCTGGGGTTACTGTTGACTTTCCATACATAGGGAGAGGGAGAGAGAGAGAGAGAGAGAGGGAGAGACAAGATAGAACGCGAGAGAGAGAGAGAGAAACCAACCATCCGCCCTCAGAGAGAAAGCGATACCATCCACCCTCCTCCCTCTTTCCCCTCCTCCCTTCTCCGCCCTCCTCTTCTCCCCTCCCCATCCGCTCTTCCCTCCCTCCCCTCCTCGCCTCTCTGCCCTCCTCCCCCATTTAACCCCGGGCCCTCCCCCCTCCACCCTTCGTCCCCTCCTCCCCTCCGCCCCTCTGGACCCATTCCCTGGGACGGGTTTTGCATCCCTGGTTGTATTTACCGGTCCCGAGGGCCCCCCAAGGCCGAACATATCATGAAAAAAAACCTGTGCGTCGCGATTTTTCCAACACCGCGAAGGGGGTCTGGGGCACGTGCAGGCGATGAAAACTCATACCGTCCCAGCTAGGCCGGGATTCCCACCCCCACCATCCCGCTGCTCCCAATACCGAAAAGTTCGGCCACACGCAAGAGTGACCCTGGGTGAGAGTGACCTTTGGTGCGCGGCGTTTGGGGGGCCGCGGGGAGACCAAACCTGGGCGCGCAGGCCGCTGCCACCGCCTCGTTTTCGGCCACCTGAGGGCCCATCTGCGCCCGCACCAAAGATCACCCCGGCGAAAGGTCACTCTTACGTCTACACCCTGCGAAATGCTTAAGAAATCATGGGTTAAGAAATTCATAGTCTCAGAAGTTGAATAAAAACCCCAAAAAACTATTCAAATCTTAGGATTTACATTGAAACATTAAGAATAAACGAGACTCTGGCCGAACATTTAAGATTTCTTAAGCATCGCCTAAGGTGTAGTCGAAACGTGCCAGTACCGCTGCTCCCCAGGCCTCTCCCGGGGTGCTTTTTCTGACCAGCACTCCGCGGCGAGTCCGGCGAGTCCGGCGCCGTGGGCCTCTCTCCCGGGAGGCCCGCGCAAGGGGCAACCGAGGCGAAGGGCAGCGGCCTCGGTGCCTTGTCCTCCTCTGATCCCCCCCTCCCCTTCTCCCCCTCCCCTCCCCCTCCCCCCTGTCTCTCCCTCCCGAGCCTCCCTTCTCCCCCTCTCCACAATTACTCAATATGAATACTACTCTTCCTCTTCCCCTGATGACGGTTTGAAAGTGCTCGAACCCCCCCCCCCCGCGTACTGTTTTTTACACACAGGTTTCCCCGGAGTTGGAGTTGGGTTTTCGCCTGCACTGTTTTCCAAAATGCTGCTCTCGCTGAGGCGCCGGCCTCATTTTCGGGCCCCCGCTCGTTCCGAATCGTGCTCCCGCTGCAGCGCTGGCCTCATTTCCGTGCTTCCGCTCGTTCCGAATCGTGCTCCCGCTGCAGCGCTGGCCTCATTTCCGCGCTTCCGCTCGTTTCGACTCGTGATCCCGCTGCAGCGCTGGCGTCATTCCCCGTGCTCGGTTGATACTACGCTTTGCGGTGCTCTTCTACGCCATGCCATGCCGTGCTCTACAATGCATCGCGTACCCTTTCGGGATCATTGCCCTGCTCCACATCCGACTGTGCGAGAAGAGAGGGGATCTGCACCATGGTAAGGGATGGGAGGGAGGGGTCGGATGTCAGATATGACGCGAGCGCGCCCAGCTTGCCCCCCCCACACCCCTCGCCCTACCCCCCCCCCTCCCCCCATCCCCTTCTCCTCCCCCCCCCCTTCCCCTCTCCCCTTCTCCTTCTCCTCCCCCTTCTCCTCCCCCCCCCTTCTCCTCCCCCCCCTTCTCCTCCCCCCCCTTCCCCCCCCTCCCCTTCCCCTTTCTCCTCCCCCCCCTTCTCCTCACCCCCCCCTTCCCCTCCCTCCCCTCCCCTTCTCCCCCTTCTCCCCCGTCTCCCCTCCCTCGCAGTCCCCCATCGGCCCGGGAAGCCCAGGCAGCGGCAGGCGGGCGGCGGGGGGGGGGGGGGGGCACCCCGAGGCAGCCGGGGGAGAGCGCAGTGCCCCGACGGCGGCGGCGCCCGGCCGTTGGGCGTGGCTTAATGGGGGGGTCACAAATGGAGGGGTCAGAAACGGTTCCCTTTCGTGCCCCTTTCGGGCCCCTCCGGAGCCCCAGGGGGCTCGTTTAGGTACCGTTTGGGTACCTTTTCGCACCACTCTCGCCACCCCCCCATGTATGACCCCCCTATTACGCAACGCCCAAGGCCGAGAGAGGGGGGCCATCCCGGCGGAGGCAGGCGCCTCGGCCAGCTGCGCCCGCAGGCCCGCGCTGGAGAGGTGCACGAAGACGGGCGGCCCCTCCCCCCGCCGGCCACGGGAGGACGGAGGGGAGGCCCATCGGGAAGCGAAACAGGCAGGAACGACAAATTTTGTTCAAGAGAGCTGATCCGTCGGTCGTACACTCCCAGGTGCCAGGGTTGCGGGCACACAGGGGTTCACAAGCAGTGCGCGGCGCCGCGGCTCTTATTCGGACACCGGGACGGGCCGACACAGAAAAGCGGGCCAGACCCCCTTCGCGCTGCGACGAAGTCGCGACGGGAGGCTGTTTCTTTGCTATGTTCGGCCTCCGGGGCCCCACCCCTCTCTGGGGAGCGGCCCAGAGAACCGGGAAAACCGAGACAACATACAGGGGAAAATCAGGAACACGGCGGCACTAGCCCGCTCGCGGCAGGGACAGAACATGAGCGGAACATTGAGCCAACAAAGAGATGACTAAACAAAGAAACAAAGACACCTCAGGCGAACACGTAGATGAAAACGCCCGAAGTGCAATTGACATTACTGTGAAGAAGACAAAAACACATAACACATTAACTAATACAAAGAGACATGGCGGAATGAGAAAGAACGTCAGGGTCGTCCAGAAAGCGAGACGGCTTCCAAGGCCCTTGTATTCCTATCGCGCATCCTTATGATGCGGGCCGACTGGACCGCGAGGAGCGTCAAAAAACTATTCCGGAGGCAAAATCGGTCCCGGGGAAGTGGTCCAGACCTTTTGGGGTCAACGTTGCGATCACGACGTCGGGGGTCTGGGCTCTGACATTACAAGTGATTTTGTTACTCCGAGCTTCGAATTTTTTCCCGAACAATGGGGAGGGGCCAGTGTTCAGTCGACCCGCTCCTGCCAGTCGCGCGCGGCGACCTGGGGGAGGGGGTCCCGGCCAGCCGCCAGAAGGCAGCCGCCGGAAGCAGCCAACATTTGGTCGTGGGGAGCCGCGCCGATCGGCAAACCAAAACATACATAAAAAGGGGCTACCCTCCGAGGGGCTGGCGCCTGTTTCAGCCCTTGGGCCCTGGCTGCGTCAGCCGGAAACAAACAAACAGCGGCACACGCCTCGCACCAGCCGTCCACGGATCGCCCCCCCCACTGAATCACCGCTAGAGGCCACTTGGCGCCAAAAAGGAGAACGTTCGGTGGAATTCCACGCTTCCATCAAATACAATTAGGGGGAAAACAAACCTCCCTCGCTTTTGACCACCCTCGCTTCCAAGAGATACCAAACGATGCCAAATTGCGGCCTGTACTGGTCAGGCCGCTTGACGAGGAGGCGCGTGGTATGGCTTGGTTTTGCCTGGAAGCGAAAGCGGGGGAGGTTATTCACGCTCTGAACAATACTAACCCTGGTCTGGTGCCGCCCGGGTGCCAGTGCACAAGAGGCTCTTGCAAAGCCCAACCGCCTTAGGAACGCCGGCGAGACTGGCTCAGCAGCGGCATTTCGTCTGCCGCCTAGCGGCTGACGGTTTGCCTCTCCAGTGGACCACGGCGTTGCCCCCCCCTCGGCAGCTAAAACTTACCGCACAAAGTTTTAACTCACTGGTCTCGGCGCCTGGGGCCTCCCCCCGTGTGTCGCCGTCGCCGTCCCGTCGTTGCTGCGCATAGATTGCACCGTATCCATGGCTCGTCCTAATCAGGACGAAGGTTTTACCACCCTCCCCCCCCGCGGCCTTCTCGATCCCCCCGGGGGTGTGCAAGTTACATTCGGTTCTGCCCCATCTTTCAGTCTTCACGCGCACTCATAGCATCCCAGATACAGCCACAACGAATGGTAAGGATGCAAGGGTACCTTTGGACGCCCGTGTCGATACTCTTCGGGCGGAGCTGGCACCGAAGAGGCAAGGATGCAAGGGGCACCCTTGTGAAAGCTACCCTTCCCTATCAGCGGTTCCGACTGTAGGCCGGGGTGCCCCCCTCCCCACACGCAGGAGTGGCCCTACGCAAGAGTGACCTTTCGTTCGCGGCTTGGGGGGGGCCGCGCCCAGGCGCGGAAGCTGTTGCTACCGCACCGTGTTCAGCGATCGTGGGCCCTCAGTGGGCCCGCACCAGAGGTCACTCTGGCGAAGGGTCACTCTTACGTGTACTCGATAAACTCGGATACCTGACCCGACGTACTGATCTTTTCACAACGCGGATCCCCAGAAGTCGGGACCCCTTCCTCGGGACCGGCTTTCCATCCTCGGTTGTTTTTGGACGGTCCTGGGGCCCGGCGAGGGCCCCAGGAGGCCGAAAATAACGAAAAACGTCTCGTCGTGAATCTTCTACACCGAGAGGGGGTCTGGGATACATGCAAGCGACGAACTCATACCATCCCAGCCAGGCCAGGAAGGAGGAGGAGGAGGAGGAGGAGGAGGAGGAGGAGGAGAAAGAGGAGGAGGAGGAGAAAGGAGGAGGAGAAGGAGGAGGAGGAGGAGGAGGAGGAGGAGGAGGTCCGTAGCCATTTTGGCTCAAGTCCGTAGCGTTTCGCTCAGGGCTTGGCCAGCCTGGCAGGGGGGAATTCGCGGCCCCCGCCATTTTTGACCCTTGGGTCAGCATTCTCCATACTGTAACTCCGCGCCGTGGGCGCAACATCAGTCATTACGTCTCCTTGGGGTGCTCGCCTGCGGCCACGGCGCTCATGGGAGGCGAAAAGGAGCGGGTGCGAAGTGACTGGTACTGCAAGGACTGTACGGTCAAGTGGGGCTCTCAGAAGGGCAAGCGCGTGTGCAACCTGGGCATTCATCTTCATTGTAAGCAGTGTCAGATGCACAAGCGCAACGTCTTCGGTGGGAATAAGGAAAGTGGAACCCCCCAGCAAGCACTCAACATCTAAGGCTGCCCCGACCACGCCCTGGGAGACTAAACGTGTCATTCAGCAGCTGGAGGCAAATATCACTGAGTTGCGTGCTCAACTACGTGAACGACAGTTTCCACTGCAGTCTTGCTCCGAGCAAGTCGAGCCCACGGTGGAAGTCGATTACCAGGACGACGATTCCTTGGACAAGCAGCTCGCAAGTTTGGACACAAAGTTGCAGAAGCTCCCTGAGGCTCTGGTCAAAGAAATACCTGAGTTGGCAAATGCCAGAAAGGAGCTGGTGGCACAGCGGGACAAACTTCAGCTGGAAAGACGAGAACGTAAGCCTGTTGGTGTGCAGATCAACGAGGTCAATCGCAAGCTCTACCAGCTGGATCAGAAGATTCAAAAAGCTGAGGCCGCGGCCGACCAGAGGCAGAAGCAACTCAAGCTGCTGCAGGAGGCAATCGAGGAAGACCAGACCAACCTGGCCGCTCTTCGTCAGCAACAGGTCACACTTGAAGGCCAGCGTGCGCAACTTGCCGCCACTGCTCTTCGGCCGCCCGCTCAGGCGGCAGAGGGAGCTACGGTATCGGCACAGGGTGCCCTCTTCAAGCTGGATACGTTGGAAGCAGTTCTCAAAAAGCATGGTGTGGAAGGTGAATTGCTATCCAAGATTGTTCTAGAGGAGGACTTGGCGAAGCTGGTTCAACCCGTGGTGGCAGAACCGGCAGGTAACCTCCTACCTCGGCAAGTGGATGCGGCCGCTGGGGTATCAGACATGGTGGTGGAACCAGAGGTACCTGCAGATACCCTTCCTAGTCTCCGTGAGGCCGACGAGGAAGCTCTTCGCAATATCTTTGTCGATTCAGGGGTTGTCGACTCCGAGGCTGTTGCGAAGTTGGATCTCGGGAAACTACGTGCTGCAGCTAACCTCATGCACAAGCGAGTATCACGCTACAGCCCATGCGAGTGAATGAATGGGTATGGTGGTATTGTGATGGTTTTTGGCAATGTTTCTTTGGTTTGACCATGACGTGCACGATTCATGATGGACAACAACAGATGGACATTCTTGGCGATTTCTGGCAGCTGTACGTGGTATCACGTGAAGAGTTGAGCGGAGCAACGTCGAGGTTGGCCACACTATTTACGGCAGCAGAATCCTTTCTGAGCTCGCAGCCAGGCAAGGAGGTGGCAATATCCGAGTTTGCTTTTGCTGCGCCCGCTGCAAAGGAACCCCCGTCCTCTGAGATCCAGGACTCCAGAGCTCTCGGGGTCCTTGGGTTGCCTGCTCGGCCTAACGGCCACTGCGCGGCCTTCTCTCAGGGGGAATTGCCTCGTCGCCAAAAAGGGAAAGGATACTGGAAAAGAACGAGACGGATCAAGGCTCAGGCAGAGCCGCCTTCCGCCATGGGTCGTCCACCTCCTGAACTGTTTGACCATGTTCGCGAACAACGGGAGCAGGCCACGGACGATTACGTCACTTTGCGTCCGGACCTACAGTCTTGGGCAGCCATGTGGATGGATGACTTGGTGTTCGGTCCGCGAGGCGACAACAACTGGAGGCGATGGTGCGAACCCTTCCTGGATGAGATGTTACGGCGTGGAAGCAATCATGGGCTTAGGGTTGCTCTTTTACGCTGGTTTCCACACCGTACTCTTGCTCAGATCATTGAGGAACTATGCGCCAAGGCTTGGAGGCAGGCAGCACCTCGTCGTACGGCCTTTTTACAGCGACTTGCAGATATGCCAAATACGGATAGATATGAGGTCGAGATGCGTCACTGGCGTGAACTTGCTGAGCTTCGGGCCATGATGAGAAGATTGCTGCAGGCACGTGCGCCCACGCCTAACTATCACCCTGCCCCCCGCCGCCCTCACCAATATGATGAAGATCAGGCTCTTGATGTTTTGCAGGAGGGAGAACATGGGCCAGGTCAAGGTAGCCTGTCAGTACCAGGCCTACCGCTACATCGTGATACCCGTGACGGTCACGAGGGGCGTCAGGTGCAGGGATGGCGCACTACGGTCAATGTCACGGGCGCTGGCTCACTTATTGGTTATTTGTCTCAGGAACCAGAAGGCAAGGTGTTCGCGGTGCAAGAGCACCATGCTCATGGAGATCGGCTGTTATCCGTACAAAGACAGGTTCGAGACCTAGGATACCATGGATGTTGGTCACCAGTTTCGGTCACAGAAGCAGGCGGCACGAGAGCAGGGGTAGCTGTGTTGGTCACAACTGATATC